AATCGCTTTACAAAGGAAATTAGGCAGATTTAGCGGGAAAGCTGTGGACATGCGCAGTGCGTTTTTCACCAGTGTCCTCAATAGAACATAGTCGACCACGKTGAAAAGCAGACCRAATGCTGACACATGCGCTTGGCTTTAGTGCGTTCACAGTATCCAATGAGCGTAGTCGTTAGAATTCAAAACTACACAGACAATGGGAGAAAGTTCATGTATACCGATAGAAGGAACACAATCTTCATCGCTGATGATTCGCAGGCGAATATCACAAACTAGATTTGACTGCTTGCAGGAAAGTATATTTGATGTAATGTAGATTTCTCACGAAAAATCAAATTGAAGTCCTTTATTTCTCATTTCAAGAAGTCCTCCGCTGAAATAATCGGAAAAAGGAAACAAATACTACTAATTACTACTAAATAGTGTTGATTAACAATAAAACAAAGGAATTAGCAGAATTTAAAATATTATTTTGTATTAAACTTCATGGATTAAGTGTGTTCACTCTATGATCGTCTCAGAGAAGTCTTGAGGAAGACTGTCATAGCTACATGACGTTTCGATATCCTGCCTGCAAGTCATCTTCAGAGTGAGAAAACAAATTCGTCCTCGCGTTATTTGAACAAAGAGGAAAAYTTCCTGATTTTACMCAGTCGTGTGAATAGTGAGCAGAATTGATTAGGGAAACGATCATGCTGTGTTGAGCTGACTTTTTAATTTTCATTTGCTGCTTTTGCTACATTTCTTTATTGTTGTTACGGTTCTTCTCAAATGTGGCGAAAGGCACAACACCTCTTGGTTACAAATCACGCCTTTAAATGGAGCAGGCTACACTTACATTTGGACTTGCAATGCAGATTTAGAAACGTCACTTTAGACTGGCATTTTTAGGTTCCACATTTCGAGGTTACATCTTTAAACGATAGAGATCTTGTAGAGCATAAAACATCGTTTGTCAAAGTGGCCATGCAGTGTTCTTTCAGTTGTGGTTCCAACGAAAAACCCAACAATCCAGCAACTAGAATACCTAAGTTCAATGRAACGATAGAAAGCCCCATCCCAAACTCCCTTTCTTTCTCCTTAAGATTACAATAAAGGAGTTCCATAGAATTTGTAAAAAGCATACCTATGAAAACACCTGCAGTAAAACAGAGAAGTAGAACTATTCCAACACCAGGCAGAAAGCGATACCAGGCCTCACAAAATAGAACTAGCATGTGTAAAACTTCAATGATAGCAAGAATCCACAGGTTTTTTAATGTGACGGTGTATAAGTACTTGGCGTTGATTGCTCCAAGAATTGCACGATGGGATCTTGCGATGACCTCCCCAAACCATAACATTATGTAGTAATATTGAAAATGGTCACGTGGTCTAAAAGGAGAGTTTTCATAGGCTAGAGTAGATACTATTGATTGTATTAATAGGTATTCTGAGAAAAATCCTAAGAAAGTAGGAGCAGCAATATAAATACACAAAGTCATAATGGCGGACAGTTTAGTCTTGATCGTCACTTTGCTGTTGTCGATTTTCTCHCCTGTGCCACTTGCACTTGAGTTTTGAAGTTTGGTGTAGATGACGTTGCGACTGATCTTGATGTCAAGATTTTTATCGATAACGTAAAAGCAAACAAAGGCAAGAAGACACAACGGTGTCATGATAAGAAGGGTTATTGTGGGAGACACACAGATCCATGTCGTCATAGCTGAAAAATAAAAAACAGTATTAATGGTGATATTAAGCCCTCGTGTCCATATAATCGTTCAAATCGCCTCAAAACGTATACAGTCATTTGACGAAACGTTGTTGCATATTTGGTTTTTCTCCCTACACGCCTAGACCGAAAAGTGAAAGGATTACCGGTAAATTTGTAATTGTTCTCTACCAGACGGTGACAATTTCACGCAATGGATAGCAACTCATCTTGACGCAAAAGCTCATTTACATCCTATTAGAATCGGGGACGATGTCCAAATAGGTTACTTTGTATATTGCCGGGAAATTATATCGCAAAGTAGATTGTTTTTTGTTTTTTTATTGACAGTGTTTTTGTAATTAATTAAGTTAAGCTCGAGGAATGGTTTTAGCAACTTAAATGAGATCGAAAACAGAGAGCTCAAGACGTGATAGATAACGTATGCGGCAGGTAGTTGTTTTGAAATGATTATGATGAAGCCGACGTTCGGTGATAATGAATATATATATACCAAAACATTTTAAGCCGTTAACTTTAACGGCCGATTTTGGTCGCTCGGTATAATGCATATACATAACAAAACATTTTAAGCCGTTAACTTTAACGGCCGATTTTGGTCGTTCGGTATAATGTAATACTATCATTATACTATCATCTTTACCTAACAAGTTAATGGCTTAAAATGTTTTGTTATATATATCAAGATAATCACTTATTTAGCCGTTATATATAGTCCGCGTTTAAGCTGTATGTATACACTTATTTAAATTGAGTTTGTCATTTCAGAAACATGAAAGACCKAAACGTACCAGAGAACGGTCTGTATAGGTCTATTCTTTCAGATGCATCCTGGTGTATTTGTGTAAATCGACCAATAAGGCATGTAAGATCAAGTATCACACTCTGGGTCAAGGTTTCATCTATATGGGTTTACAAACTTACTTGGAACAAGTAACGATTTTTTCAAGGGTTCAAGTTCAAGGGGAAGTTTGAAAATGTTAAAGGATTCATTTGAAATAAAACTTTGACAATATGGTGTACGTACATGTATTTATAAGTTGGTATAGCCAGAGAAAACAACCCTCGCACATAGAATCGAAATCATTTGGAACCAAAACTTGAAAGAGCTTGTCAACATTTTCTCGCGAAAAGTTGCGTTCAATATTGGACTCGCAGTACTTCAATTCGAATTCAAAGTGAATAACCGCTGTTTTATATGATAGCTTCCGCATATAATCAGGAGCTTAGAAGATGAACGGTGTTACGCTCACTACTAGAGCTTGGTCAATAACATGAGAAGGATAGTTACGATGAAAGTGCTTATGACTCCTGACATAATCGAATCATTGATTCTCTGTGAATTGATTCTCTAAAAAGTGAAAATTGAATGGTGAAATATTCCTTCTTTTCAGTTTGCATCCTTGACTTATGAAAGTTCATTCACAATATTAACTTTGAGGCAGTCGCTCAAAAATGTATTCAAATACCTCATCTGGAAATATGGGTATCCATATATTGCCTATGATAAATATCATGAAGATCTTTCATGAGGCTAACCAAGGGAATGGGTCTAACAATATAAACGGTTGTTAAGCTTGGCAAACACCAAAATGGCCTACAAACATGCTCTTTTGGTGGCTAAGAGTCAGTTTGATGAGGTTTGGCGTTTGAGACTGGCCTAACTATTACTGATTTATGAATCAATACACAATACGTTCGGGGCGATGGTTAAGCATTATTTGTGAAACTGCGAGAGTGACAATATTTTTTACCTGTATAATAAAGCGTTCCAATCAATTCTCCCAATGCTGATCCAGCTGAAAAAGCTTGCCGAACTTGTTCACAGCGAAAGAGCGTTGAAAAGCAAAGAGCGACTGAACAGCCAAAGCCAGTTCCCGTGCCAATCAGGGCATCGCCGATTAACTTGATATTTACATTAGCACCAGTCGCAATTGTAAGAATCCCACCAAGCATTAGTAAAACCATAAGCGATATAGACAATATATAAGAAGTCCTAATAATAATGTTAGGCCCCACTGCCATTGCAATCACACTCGAAGATGCCCAACAAAAGAACACTGTGGATGTTTGCAGTTGTGTGCCAGCAAGAACATCTTGTGTCCCAGAGAGAGCTAATGAATCACATAAAAAACAGAGAATTCCCCACACGAGGAAGGCTATTTCAGCAGCTTTACTGTTGGTATGCTTGTCATAGCCGTTTTCTTCTTTCTTTGATACTGATCCTTCCATTTTAATGCTTGATGAAATGAAATATGCTCAAATGTTGTCCTTTATTTCTGTCTAGACCTTATGCTCGGCTAAGAAGACCACTCTCCCTTCCCATTTTGCATAAAATTGCCTTTTTTCGAAGATTACAGAAGCAAACGTGATACCAGATGTATGTGAAGAACAGTAACAGGCCGTAGGTAGGATGCCTTACAAATGCTTTTTCATAATGCGGACCTAAATTAAATGTTTATCTAAATTAGTTCAATGCACAGTATACTGGCTGCTTGTCATAGGGCAGAATGAGTGGACATCGCTAGGCGATAATCTAATTACTGACGCCGCCGCCACGGTTGGTGACGTGCGAGAGCGCTGAATTTACAAAGAAAATGGCCAAAATGGTGTTAGTACTATTCACTTAATCGCAAGTTATTCGAAAAGTACTCACAAATCTCAAAGRGTTCATTCGGGTTATTGTAGCCAAGATATGTACCTAAATAATGATGTATGAGCAGTTCAAAACAAATTACTATGTCAAAAACAAATTTTAAAATAGAACAATAAAAAAGAGCAACACTGGACCTTTTAAGCTTAATAAGATGGTTTGATTAGGCTGCTAGGAAATGACACGAGTATGAAACTATGTCATATATGATACGAAGATTTCAAAATATTGTAATGTGCAATATATGCCACTTCTTTGGTTCTAGAACAAAATAATTCAATTGCAATTATAAATTATATCAAATAACWGTTAGTCTAAACTTGTTGGTAGTCTAGCAAATATAGTATAGGAAAATTCCTTTGTCTTCCTTTAATAATCTAATTTAGATAATACTTACAGCATGTAACCACGTTATGTAAGGAGCACATTTCTAATCACTACGAAACAGCACGGATCACGATATAAAGATCACCATAGCTGTACACTCGTCAAGCAACTTACCAGTGTAATTGGTTTTAAGGCGAATCAGGCGACACAACTAATGCCTACGACCATCGCATGCAACCTGCGTAAGTCATCCTTACGACATGGCTACAACTATGCGCGGCAGCATTAGGGTTGAAGTGCAAATAATGGTTTAAGTTCAGAAAATGACTTAGTTCTAGGGAGACTGGTGACAATAAGTTTATTATTGGACGCCGACTCTGAATTCAGTTTTATCGAAAGAGTCTGGATGTTCATGTACATATAGAAGGCTCACATGTCCGTATAGAAGGTTTACTGATAATTTAATCTTATGTACAAATATATTATGTGATATTTAAAAAACGAGTAGGAGTGTTTTATCGTCATATATAAACATGAGGCCGAAGGCCGAGTGTTTATATCCACGATAAAACACGAACTACGAGTTTTTTAAATGACTTCTAAAACCCAAACCTAAGAAACTACAGTAAACATGAAATAAATAAAAAAATATCAAAAATGAATAATTGATGAAGATATCTCCATCTGAGCATGAGCAGTAATCAACTTGGTTTCCCACATCCAAGCGCCACTATGTTTGAGTCTACTGTGACTCTGCAAGTAAGTAATTTTAACTCGAGACCTAGTGAAGTTCTATGATGAGAGTCTAAAACTGAGAACTTTTCTAGTGTTGGGCACACATCGAGTGTCTGTAAATCAGTTACAACACTGATGTTTTATGCACGAGTGTTATAACTAACTGAACCGGTTAGTTATAAAACTCATGTTTAATTAATCAGTGTTTATAACTTGAGTTATAGATCATGTCATGTGACCCATAGYTGAATGCTCATTGGAAGAATGTCTAATGAATAATTCATGAGTTTTAGAACATTAGAGCACATGAAAAAAATCCTCTGTATGTAATTTAATGGGAGACTGTTTTTACACTAAAACGTTTTCAAGCGGCATAGAGAGTAACTAGGCATGGATGGTAAAGGCCAATTGTAGGTGCATGTTGTGTATGTATTTCACGTGTGATTCAGTTCATTAAGTAACCACTAAACCCCTCATCTGGTCGTATTGTATGCTGTATTTAACATATCATTCCTTTTAAAATACATTTACGTACAATAAAATACATATTAATATAAAATGAAAGCAGACAAAAATACATAGTAAAAAAGAAGGCATTGTAGGAGGTTAACGTAAACTAGAGTATTGGCCTTAATACCATATGAGAACACCATCGCTAGAATAACGTAAACTAGAGTATTGGCCTTAATACCATATGAGAACACCATCGCTATAAACAGTTTAGCCAACATTAATAACGCCTGCAAAGGAGGCTATAATGTGGATCAAACTGTAAACTGGCGATCCAATGGATGTTAATCGATAGGTAGGCTTTCAGTATAGGTTATGTGCGAATTTGGTGCTTTTCGAGTTGTTCACTAACGGTAAATCATATCAAATCTCATTTGATAAATGTCTCATCCCTTAATGGCGTAGACGAGGTGCACCATATATGGTGTGGTCGCTGTTTTTTGTTTGAGTTTCTAGTGTTTTCGAACAGCTAGCATAAGTTATTGATAGGGAATTAAACATATGCTATTACGAAAGAACTTTGATAGTTTTAATTTTGGGAAAGAAACTTCTTCCGTACTTTTTATTCAATTTCCGCCATATTGATATAATTCATCAGTAACATGATGCACATCGCCATAACTCACATGATGTATGCTTAATTAATTAATAATTAAATTCATTTAAACCCATCATGGCGCTATCTTGGCTACGTAAGAAACTTTTAGGTCTGTAGTAGAGTGATTTCATTTGACCGTGAAATGCTACAGAAAAACAGTGACATAAACATTTAAAAGGACTTCAAAGAGATYCTTMAGGCCCGYTTACACTGGCRATTTTTGTGGTAATTTTGATCCTAGAGAATAATGCTAAAGAATTAACTAGTAAACTATTATTCAGTACACTTTGATGAACTAACTTAACGTCTTCTCAAGAAGGATAAAATCTTTTATATTTTTGAAAATCGTACGAAAAATCGCCAGTGTAAACGGACTTTGAAGATTTCGGTAGCCTACGGATAAAGTCGATCTTTACCATAACGAAAATGGTCCAAAGGACTGTATGATGAAACCATCGCAAATCACCAAAACACTTCCAGATCAGAATCCATTTGGGACCCCAGCATTTAAAACAAATTRTATGGAAAAAATAGATTCAGCGATCTCTTTCACGAACAAATGCAAATCACTTTAATACATAATCTGTTGACTGCATTTACTCAGCTGCTACATATACAGCGAAACGTCTTATAACATTCACCAATAAGAACCCATTACAACTACTTATGCACSTAACTAAAAAACGTTGCCAAATACAAAAAGGCTGGCTACCTCATCAAAGACAAAACGGAAAGGGATTGTGGAAAATAGTTCATATAATATGTGTATAACAGAGTTTCATTTTCTGAAAACTGTCATTAGAAAAAATCCCGRCCCCCACAGGAGCGGATGTTATTTCAAGATGATTTGATTCATATTTTCCAATACACAAAATTCCCTTAGGTCTTCAATGACATCACCTTTTTGAATCTGACATCGCTTTTTTCATTTAGTTGTATATACTGGAATTCCGCCGATAGCTGAATTGAAGGTTTTTCCATTTAGTAAAAAAACGCGTTATTGTTCAGCTGCTCCTATTCCAGAATCACAAGAAACTAGCTTTTTGAGCTGGTTTCTTTATTTAACAGACATTTTAATAAAAGAATACTGTTGATAAAATACGAACATATTTAAAAAAAAGCCTAAAAATATTAACATTTTACAACTTATAATTATTACATGGGCTTCCTGTGGAAGCACATGTTTTGTTCTACCTTC